GTTAGGTCAACCATATGCTCATGCTACGTCACGGTTCTTTAATTAGAAAATTGCGTAATATGCCACCAAAATTCATCAACTTTATATTTCAATCTTTGTTAATTTCAAAAGTATTGTACAAGAATACTCTTTGAAAATATCCCGCCATCTAAATATTAGACTTCATCACAACTCAAGTTTTTTTTTGTGAGAGAAAACGTTGTATCAAAAAATTTGAATTTGAATTTTTGTAAGAGAAAATATTATAACAAAAAAGTTTGATTTAAATGGTTAAACTTTAAAGGAAATTAAATTCCAAAATCTTGTTTGTTTCACTAGTTTAGTTCAATTCAACTCAGTTTGAACAGTGAGCGTAGTATGAACTGACGTTTGATGAGCATACAGTTTGAATTATATTTTTTGTTTGAACTGAGTTAAACATCCGAATTTAGAGTTTAGCTCTCCCCTCAAGTTCAACTGTTCAAACCATTTTTTAACAGTAAAAAGTGCTCACTCTCTCTGCTTTTCACACCTACTAAACGGAAATTTGAATTTTCTTCCATGTTCAAATAAAACTTTAATAACACATCTAAACGTCAATTCAAACTATAATTTAAACCACACAGTTTAAATTTTTTTGTTCAAATTAAAAAGTTTAAACCAATAAAATTTAAATTAACGAACCAAACGAAGGTTAAATTAGACATTTTAACTCAATTCAAATAAAAAATATATTTTGAAATTAACATTTATCGATTATGAATTCAAACTCTATTTACTGTTTAAACTGAGTTAAATTGAATTAATAGTAAAACAAACGTGACATATTTTTCTCTCTTTAATAACCAGTGGAGCAGTGCCGAAACTTGCCACTTTTTTCTTCCATTTTGTCCTTACACGTGGCACATGAAACCGAAGGGAATATATACTATACCGATTACCGGACACTTCCAAGCTTTACACCGTCAACCATTCCCATGAGAGCTAATCCTCCTCCTCACCCTCCCAAGCCGGGCCCTACACCGCCCGACGAAGATCCGGAGCTGGCCCGGCCCACATCTGGCGTGTTGGGTCTATCCGTGGGCGGCGGGTTACGGAAGAAGGGGACGGGGGTGCGGCCATGGCTGCTAGTAGACTCGACGGGGCAGGCCCAGGTGGTGGAGGCCGGAAAACACGCAATCATGCGGCGGACGGGGCTGCCGGCGCGTGATCTCCGGATTCTCGACCCGCTTCTGTCGTACCCGTCGACAGTGCTGGGGCGTGAGAGGGCGATCGTCATAAACCTTGAGCACATCAAGGCCATAATCACCGCCCAAGAGGTCCTCCTCCTCAACTCCAGAGACCCCTCCGTCACCCCCTTCGTCGACGAGCTTCAGCGCCGCCTCACGCGCCACCATCAAGCCACCAAAGCCCGGGTGGGTTTTCCTCTCTTAATCCCTTTCTTTTGTGATTAATTCTTGTAATTTTCTCAAATTAGGGTTTCTTTTCGGCTTTCTAGTTCTTCGAATTGGTTTTGGGATTATGGTGTAACACTGTAAGTTTTTATTGCTTTTTCGTTTTTGATTCCAATTTCAATTTGAGTTAAATAATTCCACTCGAGGAATCTGAATTTGTAAACAATTCTTTCAGCAATTGAGCACGAGTTTATGGCCAATTTACTTGATTGCTTAATATTAATCAGATTTAGCTGTCTTTGGTCTTCTAAATTTAAACTCAATTAAACAAACGCGTAATCTGTTTGATATTTCTTAATGTGCTTTCTATTTGTGTATCTTTTGTTCTTGTATAGGAGGGCAATGGTGATGATTCAAACTGGAAAGATCTGTATGACATGGAAGAACCACAATCAAGTGGATATAGCCCTCAAAATTCTGGTGGAGGGTTTCCGGTTCCGCAGTTTCAGGACCGGGATGTGGAAGGCAAGGGGGAAGGGAAAGAAGGTCTTCAAAATCAAGATGGACTCAAGATTTTGCCATTCGAGTTTGTGGCGCTGGAGGCATGCCTTGAGGCAGCCTGTAGTGTCTTAGAAAATGAAGTAAATTTTAATTTTTGGTTCCGGTTTTAGCATCTGCTCACTTTTTTTTGTTCTGTAAAATTTTTGCTTATTTTTCTTTGATATTGATTGTTTTTGTTTGTATCTGGTTTGCAACCAGGCAAGGACGCTGGAGCTAGAAGCTCATCCTGCCTTAGATAAGCTGACTTCAAAAATTAGTACTCTCAATTTGGAACGCGTTCGTCAAATTAAGAGCCGCTTGGTTGCAATAACTGGACGTGTGCAAAAGGTTGACTGGTTTGAAATTGTTGATCTTCATATGCTTTACCTCTTAGTCCAATGTTCTTGTTTCATTCATTTCCAAGTTATGATTAACAATGCATACATGTCGATCTTTAGGTGAGGGACGAACTTGAGCATTTGCTAGATGATGATGAGGATATGGCGGAGATGTATCTGACTGACAAGTTGGTCCAGCAACAGCTTGAGAATTCCTCTACCTCTTCTATGAATGAGAGAGATGAAATGGATGATGAAGTTCTTCGATCAGACATGGATGAAAGGTACATAGATTAATCTGTCATTTTTTATATATGTTTGCCACCATTGGGTTGTTAAGATTTACTACTATGCCTTCAATTTTCCACTTACATTGTATCAGGGTCCCGACTGAAATCACAACCTATGAAGGTGATCTTCAAAACTCTGATAACCCCCAGAATCACTTGTTTGGAGCACCTAATGTTCTTAGTAGGGACAGCCACGGGACCCATACTAGTACAACTCATAGTGCCATAAGCAAAAACCTTGATGTGGAGGAGCTTGAAATGCTTTTAGAGGCTTACTTTGTGCAAATTGATGGTACACTAAACAAACTATCCACGGTATGCAACTCCACTTGAGCAATCCAATTCCAAACTTTGTGATATCAAGTTGAACTTAAATCAAAGCAAATTGGTCGCAGTGCTGTGTATGCTCTGTTGTCTTTCGCCTAAAGTGATTTATTAAACTCAAAGCTCAACACTTGAGATGCAATTTCCTTTTTTTTT